AAACGGGAGCACGGTAGTGGGAAGCACTGACATCGATCCGGGTGGAGGCGTGCGCACCAATAACATGGAAGATGCACGACACAGTTTGTTACGCACGCGGGCGGTAGATGCCAGACCAGACCCGACACTTGGGCACTCATGAGTATGCTGCTGCTCTATGTTTAGCGCATATAGAGGGCAAGGCCGTGACGGCCCTCATTATTCAGTCGGTGGTACGATGTGGTGGAAGGCGCAAGGCTGGTAAGTGGTGAGCCTCCTGAGGATGACCGTAGCGCAAGCGTTCGAAACGTGTCGAGGAATACCTTTGTCGGTTTGAAAATACTCGGCCTCCGACCTTTCAGGAGGCCGAAATGAAACGACGGCCGCCGATCAGATTGATCAACGTCGGGCTCGGCCTCCTGAAAGTTCGGGTACTGGCCAGGACTTGTCGAAACCGGACGCCAAAGGTACTAGTGGTTAAATTTTAACATTATACTTTACGTTCGTGAAGCACGTGTCAGCCATTGCTTCTTCTTCTTCTTCTTCTTCGTCTTCTTCTTCTCCTCCTCCTGTATCGGTTATGTGGGTGCCAAGCTATGGTGGGAAGAAGAGAAAATAGCTTGTTTGCCAAGAGACTTGAACCAGTCAAAATGCAAGAAAATATTTACTAAGCCTAATGACACAATTTCAAAAGGCTCCATGACTATATGAGGTTTTGGACGTTGCTTTTCTCGCCGAAAAGGTTGGGCTGTGTACGCCGGATTGCGATCGTGAGCTATGGCTTGCTTACGCGTCTCACAGAGCTCAGGGCCGGAGTCGAGTGGTCGGAGCCACGATATCCACTCTGCTATTTCTGCTTCTCCGTGGGGCACATAGTCAAAACCTCATTCACGTAAGCATCCGCTACGTCTACATTCGGAGCACATAGTCCGGGTCCAATGAGGGGCTTAGGCGGGCTAGCTAATCACAGTATGCTCGTTTTACGGCAGCAATATCGAGTAGGGGAAAAAGATGGTATCTATAACTATACAACCAGAATTAACAAAAACGGAACAATGCAAGTCATTTGGGAAAGAGATAAGGATGATGGATCCACGCCGTAACCTCACGACGCTCACGTATGTCCCATTTGCAGCTACGTGGCTGCTCCACGCTGTACACAAAGGCCTTAGCATGCTCGTTGGTTGTGTAAGGGTATGGGAAGGGTCAGGCAACAACGCTGTCCGTGCAAAACTGTCAGTGTGCTCGTTTGCTGTGTAAAGGTATGGAAAGGAGCAAACACCCGTCCGCACAAAACTGTAATGAGTAGGCAAACATCATTCCCACATCAAACTCCTTGACGAATATGCAGAAAAAAGCAAACATCCATTATACACAACATCAACTCAGTTAAGTCATCAATTTCAATCCATTGGCATTCTATTAAGAGAGAATGCACGGGGATAGAAAAGATTCATTCATTCATACCATCACCCATTCATTGCAAAGGAATGAGAAGGCATCGATCAATCCATTGACATTCTATTAAGATAAGAATGCACGGAGATAGAAAGGTTCATTCACAGCATCACCCATTCATCGCAAAGAAATGAGATGGCACCTACCAAGAGGACTCTTTTTTCCCAGAGGGCGTGGATCGAAAGGACTCAGAAAGGTGCTCTCGCCATCCACATCGGTTAAAGATACACTCAAGCAGAAACGAGAAGTGCGTTAACCCACCCTCATTCATCTCGCACTCCTGCTTACATCCACCAACCAAATCACATATGCATGAGCGCTGACACGTGGTGACTCCCTACCTACTGACCACTAGAGACTTCTGCTGTCCCCACCTGTCTTATCCTATGGGATCTCTATTTTGGCCTGTACTGTACGTATCGGAAGGTTCTACTCAGGCCCTATGGTAGAAAAGAAAATGGGACACACTAACGGGGCCGTACTGCGGCAGCGCATGAATCCTTTCCCTTTGCTCTGATTCCTCTCATTGGCATACAGACTGTCTGTCTGTCTGTTTGTCTGTTTGTCTGTTTGCTATGTCACCTGCTGATGATGCTTGTATGCCATGTGCTTGTCTGCTGAAGTTTCTGGGTCCAAGTCTGGATCCATGTGCTTGGACCAAGTCTGGATCCAGACTTGGCTGTGCTGCAACTCTGTGCCTCAGGCAGGGGATAGGAGGATTGTAATGACCTACATAGTTTTCAGTCTGAGAAATCTCCTGTTCTCTAAGGAAGTTTCTGCTTTTCATCTGATTGCCGAGAATTACCAGTCTTTGCTTGTTTTGCTGTGTTTGCTGTGTTTTCTAAGTATGTATGTGACCTGCTGCTGATCTATGTATGCCATGTGCTTGCCTGCTGCGTTCGACATCCCAGTCTGAGTCCTTGTGCGAACTCTGTGGGCTGCTGTGATGTGTGGCTGAGCCTCGGACAGGGACACGGAAGAAATAGGGGTAGGATCAGGGACAGGACGGCAAAATAGCAGGCCCAAGCGGGCTAACTCAGTTGGTTGAGAACGTAAGTGGCACTCAGGAGGTCGTGGGTTCGATACCCAACGTTGTCCTTTCGAACCCCGTGGCCTCTTGGGGGTATGCTTCGGGTTCACCAGCGGAGACTGTTGGCTTGGGCCTCCTGGCTGGTTGTGGAAGTAATTGGTTCTTTCCAGCGCGCACCAGGTGTTAGGAGCTTGGGTACTGCTCCCCACACAGAGCAGAGATAGGTAGGCGTAGACCCATGACCGTAGGATAGTTTGGTTCTGCCTAGTGAATTTAAGCCTCGTCCCTGGTTCCATAGTGCTTAGCTCCCAGTGGTAGACTTAGGGGGGTAGTATAGTTGACGTTGTTAGAGGCCCGGTAGGGATTTTCCCGCCAGTTGGTTGATGTTTACTATAGTAAGTAGGTCATGATGGTCTAGGGTCTGAATGTAGGCCGGTACAAGGCTTGGTTCGGGGTCTGTAGGTAGATATCAGTCTGCAGTGATGTTCTCGCCACAAGCAGAAACAACCGGTAGGCATAGTGCACCCAAGGGAGGCCGGGTAGAGGTAGGTAGTGCCTGGCCAAGTTGTACTGGAGGCTGGGCAGCCAAGAGTATATCATTTGGTGCGATGAGTAGAGGGGACCTCTTACTCATTCTTCAGGCAGTCTTGCTGCTGCTCTGGCTAGAGGACGTGGTCACTGGAGCTCCAAGAGGGTGAAGGAGAAGGCATACACGGCCACGGAGCACTAGTGCGGAGAGGAAGGAGAAGCCATAGGGTATGAGGGTAGAGGGAGATTGCCTTCCAACCCAGCTATGGTGAAGGAGGCAGGTTCAAAGAGGAAGGAGGCGGCGGAAACAGGCAAAGAGACTTACCTTGGCTATGATACACTTAATATCTTCATCTTCCTTCCAGAGGGTAGCTATTGTGATAGTAGAGAGGAGAGACATGTGAGTAATTGGGGTGTCTTTTGAACATCCATGCTATCCATGCAAGAGCCGCCATCGATAGTAGTAGCCATACCCAGTGGAGAGGAGAGGAGGAGTGAGCTAAAGGAAAGCTCTTTGTACAGGGTCAGTAAGGGTAAGGGGGTGAATTGGGTATTGCCTTTTGTTCATTCATCCATTATCATTGTAATTCATCAGTAATGAAGAGGTGGAGTTGATGATGAGAGGGAGATGATGGTGGCGAGCGAAGGAGGTAGAGGACATTGATGTCAGCCTGTGTTCATCTTTGTCGACTTCCCTTCATTTTTCTTCTCGGCTCAACTCATTCTTCTTCTACTTAGTTGCAATGTCTGGCATGGTCTCAAATCTGAGTTGTTTTTTTTTGGTGAAAACAATGCTTGGCCTAAGCAGCCAGAACCCGGTCTTAACTTCGGTTTTGGTGATGGGTCATCCAGGAGGGGTTGGGGGGTATAAACAAGGACTGAAGGGCTTAAAAGGGTACATTTGGACTCATGTTTTCTCATTTTATTTTTATCTTGAAACTAACAAGGAATTTGAAGGTGGCCCTCAGCCAAAAGTCGTTTCTATTGCAATTTTACACAACATATTTTTTTTTCGGATTTTTTTAATTTAAATTTTCTATTTTTTAAAATATTATGCGCTGGGATCGCCCGGGACCCTGCCCGGCCCCTGCCCGGTCCAGGCCGCCCGGGAGGGTACACGGGCGACCTTCCCCCAGCCAGGCTGCCCGGGACCTTTTTTTTTGTTTTTTCAAGAAAAGACTTACATTACGTAATTGAAAAGAATGGGCCCGGCCACTCCACATAAAGGCTGGATTTGGGGGCATTACCCAGTGCTATGCTTTTGATGGGACCCTTCCAGGACCGGAGAAAGGGGATCGCTTCCTTAGGGCATTCCACTGCTTTACCTATGCTTAAGTTACCTATGCTTAAGTCCTGAACCCTATACCCTAAACCCTACCTTCTACCTACTTTCCACCTTTTTTTTTGTTCTACCCTTCTGAGCACTGGAACTATTAGTTTGATATCGTTTCAAGATTGACTGGTTGGATTGAGTGAAAATGCGTTCTTCTGTCGGGGCTCTTGCTTTGCTGGGCTGAACGGGGTTTGTATTCGGGTGGGGAAATGAGTTGTTCTGTCTGGTCTGGTGTTTGGGCTCGGTGGAAAATTGGAAATGTTTACTTTTTGTTCTTTTTCTCCTTTCAATGATGATGATGATGAAAAGAAAAGGAAGAAAACATGATTGAGCAAGGAACAATTTTGACATGGGTTCGTCCGTCTGGATTTGTGTTTGGATCCGGCGAAAATGAAATGGGTTATTATGTCTGGGCTTGTGTCTGGCTTGATTGTTTTTTTTTTGGATTCTGCAGTTACTGTAGAGGTTGTGCTCTTCCCGCAAGCTTTCCTCGAAGATGTGTTTTCCAAATTGATTGGTGTGCGCTCACTGCAAGGACATCTCTGGTTGTTGTTGCTCTGTCTGGGGTTGTGTTTTGGCGCGGATTGCCTTTCCGAAAGGTTGTGCTCTTCCTGCAATCTTTCGCTCTACTAGTCTGCCTTTCACGCTGACGCGTGCACGAGAAGCGGGCTGAGGAAGCTTCAAGAAAGATTGGCAAAGCGACAGAATGCTTGACCATGGGGGAAGCACAGCAGCAGACATCATGTAAACGCAAACGAGCGGAGATGGATGACGATCTTCCTTTGGCATCGGTAAATCGCAGGGAGGCCAAGTTGGACGCTGCGCAAGGGAAAGCGGTGTTATTGGCTGTACGAAAGATCCTCAGTCGTCCTAGATTGCTTGATGTGACATTTGTCTGTGAGGAGGATCAGGAGGTTCCTGCAAATAGAACGCTGTTGGCGAGTAGGAGTAAGTACTTTGCCAAACTTCTTTACAGGGATATGAAGGAGAGCTCCATGGAGAGAATCCCTCTTCCAACTGTGAAGGCAGGCAGTCTGCAGGTTGTGATCAGTTTCCTGCATGGCTGTCCTTTCTGGTGGGAGCCTGACCGTTGCGCTGACGGCTTGGTCGACATGTATGTTTTGGCGAAGCAGTATCAGGTGAATAGCTTGTGCCGGAGGATCTTACTCTCGGTGTCGACGCGTCGCTACCGTGATGGAAGAGAAGTGGGAGATCTACTGAAGGCAGCACTCTCGCGGCAAGCAGATAAGATATCGAGCAATGTAGTAAGGGTAATCTATGCAGATATGGTATTTGATTCAAAATTTTTTCTCGGGTGGACGAAGGACGCCATCACAAGCGTCCTGAGTTCAGCGTGGTTCCAGCCATACGTGACGGAGGCACTGATTGCAAAGGCCGTGCTCTTAGCGGCACCGGGTGTCCCTGCTAGGATTACAGTTGACGCAGAGCAAGACACTGAGGTCTGCGCTCTGGGTCCATCGCCAGCGACCTGCGATTCTGGTGCCAAAAAGGCTGAGGATCCCCCTACTAGCACCAAATCAGCTATGCCCCCTGGTTTGCGAGCCTCAGGGGTGAAAATCTTTGATGCGGAGCCGCTTTGTTCTTTATCCTGGGAGGATGTGAAGGAGATCTTTGAACAGCACATCGACCTTCCTTTTATCGAGCCTTCATTTGTGGTGACATGGATTGAGCCTCTACAAATCTTACAGCCAAAGATCCTCACAGCACTGTACAGTGCAGTCCATCTGCTTTTCTCGTGGAATGCCACTGGACGTATTATTCAGAATGCCCTGGCGTACCATAATTCCCCAAACACCTATTGCGCCTGGTGTGGAGCTGGGTAAAGGAGGTGATCGTGTCTGTTCTACGTCTTCGAAGGTCTCGATCCCAACGGTTTGTACCCCTGAATCGGACTCGGATTTCACCACGTCGGAGGAGATGCCACAAAGGCTGTGGCGCCCAGCAACCCGTGGTGTTCGCCGAGCGGAGGTGGAGATGAACCTCTCTAGCGGACGACACATATGGAGAATCCGCCTGCTAAAGGGCTGTACAACGTTTGCTGCCGGACTTGTTCTTACTAACGACAAAGGTCTTGCCGATGGTGAAGAAGAAGTCCGGGTGTGGTGGGCATTGCATAGCGACGGCGTTACTCGCAAAGTACATCCGCATCCCAATGGGGACAAGGCACATTGCTATTATACAAATGTAAGACTTGGCGACAGGTTCGATAAGCCCGGGTCTAGTGTGGTGGTGATTCTCGACGTTACCAAAAGATCTCTGACTTTTGCTAATGATCTAGAGACTTATGTGAGTCGCAGTTCAGGTTTTCCTACGGTATTTTCTGAGATCAGCTGCGATGGCACACTGCACCCAGCCCTGTGGATGGAAGGACCAGGTTGTGCAGAGATAGAATGGATTGAGAGTTCCCCTTGTACACAGGTTTGTGCATCAGATAAGAGCTGAAGACTCACTGAGTGGCAGGCTGCAGTGGTGTTCAGTTCACGCTTGTTGAAAGAATGAATGTGGTAGTAATGGCAGCCCAGTTTGTGCTTTGCTAGCATGAACAAAGAGCTCCACTGGGGGCCCGCCTCTCAAGTGTGCATGCGGTACAGTGAAGTTCACGCCTCCCAAGTGGCCCTTGGCAAGACAGCTCGGGCCTCACCCAATAGGTGCTAGCTAAGGTTTATGCAAAGCAAAGCAAGCATAACGACCATTTCGTCAAAATGGACATTTTTTATTTTTTGAACGAAATTGAAACCGAGTTTTTTGGCCGAAAACTCGTCAAAATTTGCTGTTCCTGAGGGTACATGGACCTAGCTTGAGACCAGGCACCTCCAGGCAGGACTGCCTGGAGGTACCTGGTCTCAAGCTACGTCCATGTACAGCCAGGGGGGGCAGCGTTTTACAAACGCCGGACCCTCAGGAAAGCAAATTTTGACAAGTTTTCGGCCAAAAAACTCGGTTTCAATTTCGTTCAAAAAATAAAAGATGTCCAATTTGACGAAATGGCAGTTGCATGAACATGGCTACATTTTTGACCCGTTTCATGCTTGCTAAGCGCAGACACGGCCTTTTTTTTAATCTGCCAGAGCTTCCTCCTAGGTAGCCCCATCAATCCCGAACCCGCTGATGGCTTTCTTGGGGATTGATATGGTCTTTAGGGTTAAAACATAAAAGGGGGTTCGGCTTTAGGGTTTATTTATGTGTTCAACGGATTTATCCTTGGCAATGGAGCATCTTCAGCAGGCTGATGATGGACTTACGGCTGATGGTTTAGGGTTTCGGTTAATTTCTGTCTGTATCATTGGCGACGAAGCGTCTTTATACATGCACACGATCAAGGGCCAGGTACTATGAATTTATGATTTTCTACGGTATCGCTCTTCGGTTCAAGTCTTTGACAGCGTTGCGATGTGTGTTTTCTAGCCATTTTTAGCACGCAGGCCGGCCGTTTTGAACTGTCGCCGGGTGTTGTGGCATATGGCTGCATTTCTTCTTTTTTGAAGGGCTGGCTCATGCTGTTGTGCAGTGACATGGGGCATACCCAGTGGGGCATGATACGAAACGTGCTAGTCCTAGATTGCTGGCATCTCTTTCCTGCTGATGATGATTGAATCAACTGGGAGAATGTAGAAGAGGGAGGGGGATGCATTGCAGAAGTTTTCGAGTAGTAGAATGGGTGGTCAGTTGAAGCTAGGTGGGGGGCGTTGGACAATTTTCAAGCAGTGGAAGTCAGGTGGGGGGGTTGTGGACAGTTACGATTTTTGAGCAGGTTGGACAGTTTTCAAGCAGTGCAAGTCAGGGGGTTTGTGGACAGTTTCGATTTTGGAGCAGGTCATGCATACAAATACCCTCCCTCCATCCCCGCAACCATTATCCTCTCTCTCTCTCTCTCTCTCTCTCTCTCTCTCTCTCTCTCTCTCTCTCTCTCTCTCTCTCTCTCTCTCTCTCTCTCTCTCTCTCTCTCTNCTCTCTCTCTCTCTCTCTCTCTCTCTCTCTCTCTCTCTCTCTCTCTCTCTCTCTCTCTCTCTCTCTCTCTCTCTCTCTCTCTCTCTCTTGTGGATCACACACACACAATGTCATGCCATTTGTCAATTTTGTCTCCATCACTTGGCTGCAGATGCAAATGGCACAGCGGCATTTTGATGACCACTCTGAACTTTATTCTGACTCTCGACAATCATTTTGTACCATACTGTTGACGAGAAAAGATGAGGGACAAAAGAGAGACTCATGCATGTGACTACCGATTCGAATCCAAACAAAGTAAGGCAGACGAACAGGGGGACAAGTCGAACCAGAACTCAGAGAGAATAGAAAAACTGCACTCAACGCAAAACCAACTCCCACAGTCCAACCAAAGTACAAGATATGGAGGTTCCCTTCTCCATCACCAACCAGCGCAGCACACACCCTGCACCATCTTCGGTGCTCTGGTTCCGACCGAATGTACGAGCTCTACATGTGCACCTAGCCTGCATTGGCACTCTTCACTGTCCTCTTTTTGAGCATGACAAGACTTTCTGTCAGTTTCTGATGCCTGGATGCATGATGCATATTCTGTGCAGTGTTGCACCCAAGATCAAGAGAATGAGCAAGGAGGAGAAGGGTTGCATTTATAGCATGCAATATGGGTGGAGGTTGACACAGATAGTGGCGAAAGATGGGTAGATGTGGCTTGAGAATATCGAGGGACCGTCGGATGGGAGGGATTTCCAGGAAGCAGCTTTATGCTACAAAACGGGATGGTTGGCCAACTTGGCCGAGCTCTGCGGGTTACCACACCTTTTGCACACCTCTATCCGACCAGCCTGTGCATAGCCGACCGAAGCATCGGAGGTCCAAGAGAGGGAAGGTGGGATGATGCAAGAAAGAGAATGGGGAGAAGGAACGACGGGATGGAAGACGGAGAGATAGACAGGAAGCTAGAAGGTCGTTTTTATGTGCGTTACTGTACACTCTTGATGCAAGCACCCGAGTGTCAGAAGGGAATATTACATCGCAAAAGGAGCCCATAAGTTGGATTTTCCTGCCATGGTGAGAGGGTGCAATGCCCTCGGTGACTCGGCACGGCGGATTGTGCAGTACTCACTTGCCAACCCCTTGCACCCTAAGGCTTGTCCCCTCACAGTGTGGTGCCATCACAGGTATTGTTTGTGATATAGAGTCACGGACTGTGCACACACCCCATCTCCCCCCGTGGTCCCCCCTCCCCCTCCTCTTTACCTTTAGTCCGGCATTTGGCTGCTCAACGCTTGGGGTCCCGCCAGGTCGTGGCTTCCGATTGGACCCAGGCCAGTCGGGGACCTTATGCCGATGGGCCTAGCTTAGTTGGCACACAAATGAACTGTTGAAATATACGTCGGAGTTCCAATCGACTGCAACTAGATGAACGGAATTCTTGAATAACCAGGGGCCTTGAATAACCTGGGGCCGGTCGGTCCCGCGATGATATCTCAAGGGGGCTGTCGTCCTTTTAGGAAAGAAAAAAGCAAAACAAAGGGGAAAAATAAATCTGAGGTTCGGGGACAGACAGGTGATCTGCGGGGGGCAGGGACCTCAGTGACAGACAGGTCCATCTGGGGGCGGACGGACCTCAGGGAACGACCGGTCCACTGCATTCAGTTAGACGCAGGCCAATCTGGGCCCTCAGGGACAGACAGGTCCGAAGCCATGCCACGTCCAATCTTTGGACCAGTTCCAGGGTATGTCCGGCCTTGGGGTTGCATACGTATGGCCCAGGGTGGAAATGCTGGTCGAGCCACAGCTAAACCTCGGGTTGGATCACGTTGTTCAGGACATCTGTCAAAATTGGAAACGTACAGACTGTGTGAGGATTAAGCACAAGAATGACAGGCATAAATCAGAAAAAGGGAGAAGGAAGGAAGGGAAAAAAAGAAATCTTTGTGTCGGATCCAGATGGAAAATGGCTCCAGGCCGGGCTGAGCTTCGACTGGGGCTCAGCGCAGGTCTCTGAGTCGAGTCAAGTTCAAAGGAGAAAAGTATCAATAGTGTCACGGTTGTGGTAATGTGAGCAGGACGCACAAACTTTGTCGACACATACATCAAAGCTAGGAACATAGCGTGCATGCTTGCACGATGAACTCGGGATTATGCCTATGTGGTTTGGTTATTTCTATTTGTATCTATTTATTGGTGGGGGGGTAATTAACACTTACTACCCCAAAACCCGGGGACGCGTGCCAAAAGGCTCGCAAGAGCCGGGTCCCCGACCGAAGGCGCCGAAGGCGTCGTTTGAGTCTCTATATAGATAGGCCGAAGGCGCCCGTAGAAAGCTAAATCTACATGAGGCGTATAATGCATTGCTAAAAAAATGCCTGTAATTATCTGGATCACCAAACAAATACCAGCAAGTGGTTTTCCTTTCCAGCAACTGTTTTTCATACAGCTTCGCTCCCGAATCATTTTTGTGTTTTTTTGCTTTGCTTTTCCAAACGGGTTTCATAAGACAAAGTATGTGACAAAATCATATTCATTGGTGCAGAAGGTTTGAACAAAAAGAAACTGAAAAAGAGAGAAAAACAAAGAGCACAGCAGAAAGACTCTAGAGGTTGTTTGAATCAATTAACTTAGATTCATTGACTTCAGTCAATGAATAACTGTCTTGACGCCAGCTTTGGCTGGATTTAGGCTCGCCAGAGTTCAGATGCAAGAGGCGAATAACGGGAGTTGAACCCGTGTTTTCAATTTAGCTTTCTTAGCACTATGCTATCATATGAGCAATGGAATTCGACATTTATTGTGGGATTTAGGGCACAGCTTAGATTTATCAAAAGGAACAGGGATTTTTGAAAGGAGACTTTATGTGGGGTGGTGTCGGCTCCATTCTTTTCTTGGCCAGGCAGCGAAGGAAGCTGACGAGCGGAAAAAGGGATTTGAACCCTTTACCTTAGCCTTGGCAAGGCTATAC